TCAAAAATCTAAAGTTTAGACAGATCTATAAACAAAGGAAAATAGCACGCATGCTAACAATCATTTCTTTCCTACTCAGTTAAGTGCCAGTAAAGAAAGAATAGCAAAACTGGAACACTCTGACATGTGCCCCCCAAAAGTGCTTAAGTCGTAATAAGAAAAATCTAATTTTGTGACTTTGATTTCACATGGTTTACATTTTAAATATTGCTTTATTGTTAACTATACAGAGAAGTAGAACCATCATCTTTCACAAGTGCCAGGGAACCCTAAAAATCTCAAATTCATTCCATGAAGGTAAGTGCAACACGCAGCCATTCAGAGCTTTGCGGATGGAGTGATCAGTGGAGGTGAGAGGGAAGGGAATCTCGGCACAAGCAGGAGGTTATGTAGATCCAGGCAGCACTATCTGAAGCAGAAGAAATGCTTTATAAAGGGGTCTTCTGGTAATAACAGCAAGGAGATGAGAACAGCTGGAGCAGACGTAGGGTCCAAGAAGTAATGAAAGGTGACGCCAGAAAAGGAAGCTGGAATTGCCTATGGAGGGCCTTGAATCCCAGGCTAAGGACTCGGAACTTCATCAAGATACTGTGAAAGAGACTTGGCAAGGACTGCTACCATCACCACCTCCATGAACCCAAATCACCTGATAATCAGCATGCAGACCACAGGTCTCTTCTGCTCTTTCCTGATCATCTCTCCAGCCACAAATTGATTAACGATTCTTTCCTTTTCCTAAAGCTATGTAATATAACCTATATAGAGTCCTTTTGTGCCTCCCGTTTTTGTGAGAACCATGAGGGCATCTTATTAGTCCTTCCCTGAGTATGCCCTCACCTACCCTACTAGCTTTGTACACAGATGGTGTAAGATAGGAAAATAATTCTTCCCATCTCTTCACTAGTACCTTTTGCCCTTTAAGCAGCTCAAAATGACTACTCCAACCCACATCAGGATTCCTTCATCTCCTCCATAGCATGGGTAAACAAGTATGCTATTCCTATACTAGAAAAGCTCTTATAAAAAGAATACCATTGACTATTACTTCAACTAAGGAAATAAGCGAACTAAATGGTTCAATAATCATTATATATTTAATCTGACCAATACTATTTAAAAAAAAAAAAAAACCTAAAATGACAAACTCTCAGGGTCCAGGACTTCACAGTAAAAATTAAAAAGACATGTCACAGGTTCTAATCTCTCATAAATTCACATTTGGGAAAAAAAAAATCACATTTGGTCAAAGCTAAGAAATAATTCCAACATTAATAAAAAGTTCTCGGAACCCCTGGGTGGCTCAGTGGTACAGTGCCTGCCTTTGGCCCAGGGCGTGATCCTGGAGTCCTGAGATCGAGTCCCATATCAGGCTCTGTGCATGGAGCCTGCTTCTCCCTCTGCCTGTGTCTCGGCCTCTCTCTCTCTCTCTCTCTGTCTCTCTCATGAATAAATGAGCAAAATCTTTAAAAAATAAAAAAATAAAAAGTTCTCTACATATTTAATATTTTGCAGAGAATTCTAAAAATCCCTCAATTTAGTAAGTGCCAAGACTAGATTCAATAAATGAGTCTATAAATAAATGAGGAAAAAAATCAACTCTTGTTAAAAGAAAGTTATAAAAGCAAAGACCATCATAATACTTGGCAATTTCATAACATCTTTCACCAAACTTTCTCAAAGTTCCAGGAAGGTAGGGTTGAAATCTAAATAAATAAATAAATAAATAGGCAAAACAGAAACAAATAAAAAAAAAAATTCCTACACTTCTTGGATATCAAAAGTCCTAGAGTTTTTAAAACTTCATAGTTCCATAGTACTAATGTAAAAGTTTCCAAGAAAACTGCAATTCAGGGGCACCTGGGTGGCTCAGTTGGTTGGGCATCTGCCTTAGGCTCTTGGGTTGTGATGTGATCCAGGAATCCTGGGATGAAGCCCCTTATCAAACTTCCAGCTCCCCCAGGGAGTCTCCTTCTCCCTCTCCACTCCCTTTGCCCCTCCCCTCTCAGAAACCACATTCCCCCCCCCCCCTAGCATGTGCTCTCTAGCTCTCTTACGTATTTATTTTTAAATCTCAAGAAATACATGCAATTCACTATAATGTGACCCCTACACCTAACCACAGTAACTAAGACTAGTTGCAGTAAATAGTATTAATTGAACATCTGTGAGTCTTTCACTGCGAGAAACTTGTATATCAGGCAACTAAGAGTTTATATCATCACATCAGCAGAAGCAAAATAAATAAATATATTTATGTACACACACACACACACACACACACACACACACAAAATCAACCTTCCTTTCATGGACAACCCCTATAAAACCTGACAGGTTCAGAAAGGACAGAAAAAATACAAACACACGCCCGTCTAAATAAGTCTTAACAGGTCGACCGACTTACCCTCTAGGTACATTTTAATTTCAAATAAATCATTGAGGACTAACAAATCCAATCTATCTAAAACACTTTCGGTGTTACGACTCACTTTAAACGTGTATCTGTTAAATACATGTCTAAAAAGCAGCCAGGGAGACATTTCCAGGCTAGGCTCCAGCTTAGTTCTTGACCCATTTTACTCTCTTCTCCTTTTTTAAACGCTGTTAAACAGTGTCATGTGGATTCTCCCACAATATTTCTCTTGTCAATGCACGAAAGTCAGGACTAAAACTTCAGAGCATCCCCCCCCCCCCTTAAAAAAGTCAGTTTCCTTTTAAAAACAGCCGTAACTCCATCCTCCAATTACCTACGGGCAGTGTTCCACGGACTCCAGCGGGTGTTGAGTGCTTAAGTGCGGGCGAAATCAATACCGAGCTTGTAAGTACAAGACTATTATTGATAATCACAGTGACATCCGATTAAATGTCCTTTTAAAAATAGGTTTTTTTCAACTAGCTTTTTTTTTTTTTTTTTAGGCCCGAAGGATATATTCCACCGAGCAGCCTACTTCAAGGACAACCCTTAAAAAAAAAAAAAAAAGTCTCCATCACTACACAAACTTGCAAAAGCCTAAAATGTCATGCTGCTACGCACACTTGCTTCGATTTTTCCTCTAATTTCCAAAGGGTACAGTTCACACTAGGATTTCAGGAAGCCTTCCCTTCAGTCGGAGTAACCCCAGACCGCCAAAGGGAGGGGAGACGAGAGTGCTCAAGAGACCAAGAGACCGAACCGAGTTCACCAAGTGAGACGGACGGACACCCGTTCCCCAGAGCCCCGTCCGCAAAACTAAACGCGCCGGATCCAGCCAGTGAACTCCCTGCCGCCGGGTCCCGTGCACGGTGCTGGGTTCGGGCAGGCGGAGGCCACAGGCGACCCCGGTCGACGCTAGGTGACAAGCCGGTCCTCTCCGAGGGGCGAGGAGGGGCGACCGAGTACGGAACGTGGTGCCTGAAACTCGCCAAAGGGGGGGGGGGTGCGGGGTGCTGGAGGGGGGCGGGGGTGCGGATGCTAGAGGGGGTGGGGGTGTTGCGGGGTGCTGGAGAGGGGGTGGGGGTGCTGGGGGGTGGGGGGTGCCGTGGGGTGCTGGAGAGGGGGTGGGGGGTGCTGGGGGGGTGGGGGGTGTCGTGGGGTGCTGGAGGGGGTGGGGGTGCGGGTGCTGGAGGGGGGCTGGCGGTCTGTGCGGAGTCTCACCCTCCCGCTCAAATCACGTTAGTGAGGAGTTTGCAGATCACTCACCGCTTCTGGTTTCCTTTTAGACGCCCACACGCGGGAGCGCAATCCAGGGGGCAGGAGCCAGAGCCGAGCCCCCCGCGCTCTGGGAACCGACCCGGGAAGTGCCCAGAAGCGCCGGCCGGGCCGGACGCCCCGCGTCCCGCGCCCCCACCTGCCGCGCCGCCCAGCCCACCGCGGCCCCCCGGGCTCGCCCTGCGCGCGGAGCGGAGCCGCGGAGGCTCGGCGAGGCGGGCGGGGCAGCGCCCCCGCGCCGGCGCCTCCCCCGCCTCCCCCGCCTCCCCCGCCTGCCCCGCCTGCCCGCCTGCCCGCCTCCGCCCGGCCGGCCCGGGGCTCACCCGGCGCGCCCCGGCGCGGGGCCTCCTCCACGTCCCCGGCCCCGCGGGCGGCCCGCACCGTGTCTGCTGCCGGGCGGCGGCCGCGCGGGCGGCGCTGTCCCTCGGGCTCGTGGCGCCGCGGCCGCGCACCTGGAGGCGGGGAGCGGGGAGCCGGGAGCGGGGAGCCGGGAGCGCGCAGCTCCGGAAGCGCCGCGCCCGCGCCGCCGCCGCCGCCGCCCAGGTGCTCCCGCCGCGCCTCGGCCGCTTCCTCCCGGGCCGCGGGGGCGGGGAGCCGGCGCCCCGAGCGGGGGCAGGCAGCCCGGGCTCGGCGGCGGCGGCGGGGGCGGGGGCGGGGGCGGGGGCGGGGAGCCGGCCGTCCCGGTTCCGCAGCATAGCTGGGCGGCTGACTCAGGGCGCCGCGACCTGGCCGCGCCCGGCACCCTCGCCACCTGGCGCACGGCGGCCGCGAGGCTCCGGGGCTCGATCCCGAGGTTCCCCGGGCCCCCGGGGCTTGCGGGGGCTCCGAGGCTCCCGAGGCTCCCGAGGCTCCCAGGGCTCCCGGGCCCGCGGGGCTGCGGGGGCGCGTGCGGCAGCCCCGGTGGGCGAGGGCATCCCCGTCCGCGTCCCCGTCCGCGTCCCCGTCCCCGTCCCGGGCCCGGCCCGCCCCCGACTGCCGCTGTCGCCCCAGGACCCCGCTGCCCCCCCCCCGCCCCCCGGCCTTTCCCGAGCCCCGCGAGGCCGCCGGTGGTCCCGGGCTGCGCGTCCTGAAGTGGCGCCCGACGGGCCCGGGACGCCGTCCGGCCGGCCCCGGCGCAGGACCCGCGCTCCTCGGATCCGCCTTCAATCGGGGCCCGTGAGCAGGGGGGCGGGCGGCCAGTGACCCCCTCTTTCCAGCCGAGGTGTCGGAGGCCCCGGGGAACCCGGCCGAGCCGACGCCCCCTGAAGGGGTGGGGGCGATTCTCCATTGACGTCGGAACTCCCAAGCCCGGGGAAGAACAGCCTCTACTTACTCCCTGATTTTCTGGATCCTCCTTTCTTCTTGGCTTTTCCACCTGGAGGGAAGGGGGGGCCGTGCCCCAGTCTCCCCGGCACCCGGCACCCGAGATTGCCAGATGCTGGAAAGACCTTGCCCATTGGAGCCGGACCTTGACATCCTGCTCTTGGAAGTCAGGACGCCGAGGCAGCAAAACGGGAGGGAATCCCCCGCAAAACAAAACAAAACCAAAAAAAAAACAAAAACCACCCAAGATGACTTGTGCGGGCCCGTCCCCCAAAACCTAAGAGTCAGTAAAAGCCGAATACTTTATTTTTAACTTAAACATGTCTTCACGGACTGTACCTGAAATTCTCTCCCTTGAAAGATGCAATATCCTTATCTTTCCGCTGTACCTGTTGAGAGAAGCGAGGCAATTAGGGAAAGTGGCGAGCTTATTAGAAAAATTAGATAATTGGTGAGGTCCAGCTTATAGAGGGCTTCCCAGGAGCCCGTGCCAGTGGTAGGCGTCGTCTTCACCAAAATACCTCCCACCAAAGAGCATCCTCCTGCCTGCAAGCCTGAAGCAGCTCTAACAGGCTCCAGAGACCCCAATCTCCATTTCTTTTGAACCAAATACTTAACAGCAAGCCCTATTTCCCACCGGGAAAAGTTTTTTGTTGTGTCGTTTTGTTTGACGTTTTCTGAACCTCGTGCATTGTCTTTTCTTTGGATGCCTGTAGAATTGTATTTATGTGGCTCTCCTGGCTTCGTTTTAGGCTCTTAATCTGGTTTTTGTCTTGTTTGTTTTCTAAGAGTTCTCACATAATTGTCATTTATTTATTTATTTATTTATTTATTTATTTATTTATTTATTTATTTATTTTTTTGGTAGACCATCATAAAGTCCTTTTCTGGCAAGGTAGGTTATAACTAAGCAAAAATTCTCACATTAGTATTGGTGTGTCTCGGAATGCCAAGCATTGCTTTGGCCTCAAGCTACTTCTCTTGGTAGATTTTATAAACTAATTGGGACTTTATGTCTCTTTGCGTCAATATCTTAGTTCCTTGATTACTGTTCAGTCACTGTTTAACGGATTTATTGGAACTTACTGTTTAGATAATTTAAGAATACGGTAGTAGCAAATACAATGCAACCCCTGGATTTACGGCCTTCTCTGAGGAGGAATAAAGTTAAGAGCTGAAAGGCACACCAATGATTTAATAATAGCTCTAGGAAGTGAAAGAAAAAGTGGTCCCCCCCCCCCCCCCCCGTTGAATGTTCAGATGTATTCTGGTTTTAAGAACCTTAACGTAGGGGATCCCTGAGTGGCTCAGCGGTTTGGCGCCTGCCTTTGGCCCAGGGTGTGATCCTGGAGTCCAAGGATCGAGTCCCGTATCAGGCTTCCTGCATGGAGCCTGCTTCTCCTGTCTATCTGCCTCTCTCTCTATCTGTGTCTCCCATGAATAAATAAATAAAATCTTAAAAAAATAAAAAAAAAGAACCTTAATGTATGGAGGAAAGTAAAAGATATCTGAGGAAATCTGTCAGGGGTATTCTTTTATTAATTCCTCGTTAACCATATCAGATTCCAGCCAAACATCTAATATATATGTTGTAGATATAAAACAACTCTATGAGCTGGAGCCCCTTTTTTAATTTTATAAACATAGGCTTAATTAAGATTTAGGTTAAGTAGTCAGTAGTGTATAAATTGAACACATCTAGGCTGTATTCGTACACTATAAATTACTTAGCAGCCCTCACAATGAGGCAGCAAAGCGTACAAGAAAATTAACATCATAAAAACTGAGGTCTGATATCTGTTTACTGCCAAGGCCACGGAGTATATATTCCCAGGAATTTCCATCTAGGCTGGATTTATTCCAGAATGATTTGGCCCCACCCTTCTTTCCTAGATTTTTACTCAGGGAGCCCAGTATAGCTTGCCCTTTGCCAGATTTTGTGTCTTTGCTCCTCCTATCCCTCCTACCCAGAATGCACTCTGCTTCCAAAAGAGGAAATCTGACCGAGTGGAAATCTTCCTCCTCTCCCTCCTCTCCCTCCTTCCCCTTCTCCTTGCATCATGGAGGCTAACACCCATACAGCATTGAGGTGTCAGTTGCTATTCCCAGCTCTTGTAAAATCTCACTGAATTCTCTCAACAGCTCCTAAAAGGGACAGTGTTATTATCCCCATGATAAAAAAAGTTAAGAAAGAGAGATTGAGTAATTTACATCAATTAGGAAATAAAGAAAAGAGAAGTCCAACCCAGTCTTCTCCAGGATCCGCCCACTGCCCTGGATTGCCTTTTAGGGCAATCAGAGTGCTGGAATTAAAAAGGCCTATCCTGAAAAAATGAAGCCTGACCACGTAGGTTGTAGCATTTTGAAGAGACTCATTAAAATGTTTGAGCCTCAATTTCCCCATCTGTAAACTGGGAATTGTAATACCAAGAGAATTTAATGTGATTGCTTGTCTAAGGCACCTAAAGAATTGTAGTCCCTTCCTACATTTATTTTTTTCCCCTTCATACATTTAGTTCTATTCTCTTTACTCCAATTACTCTTCAAAACTAGGTTTGAATCCCATATCCCTCTTAAGCCTTTCCAGATCTCTGCTACCCACAATCATATACACAACAGAATTTAAAGTATTTTTCTCTAAAAGAAAATCCAATATAATTTTTGCCAAATATAATGTTTCAGGAATGTAGATAAAATAGGCATGTCTATTATAATATCTAATTCATTTTAGATAAGCAAATATTTATCAACATAAAAATTATATGCTAATGTATAAACACTGCTTATTCCACTCATATTTTATAAAATAATTTTATTCATATTTTAGCATGCAACTTTGACATCAATAATTGCATCATGAGAGTCACATTTTGAATCGTCAATGTTTTGTTTTTGTTTTTTTCAGAGCATATTATTTTCACTTGTGTTTAAATTTTTGAAGAGACCTACCTTTCTGAATCCTTTTATGTTTCTTGTCACCACCAGGAATGTTATTATAAACCACAAGTTTCCACCTGCGTTATATTATTTTTTGTCAATCATCTTAAATATGTATATCTGTTATCTCCACCAGCTTTTCTGGGTTTTTTGGATGCTCTTTAAAAGGATGTTTGCACTAACATAGGACAGTTAAAATTGTGTAGTCACACCTCCATACATAATTAACGGGTTTTAAATATCTTCACCTCCATGATTTTTAAGCCAAATCCTTCAGATGACCTTTTTATGTATCCTAAACTATGCCTGATTGAGGATGTTTCAGGCTACTTGCCCCACATCTAACTCTAGTAGTTCTAGTAGTTTGCAGTTTGGATTAGTGGACAATAATTGCAGAAGGGTCTTGAACCTGGACTATATACATTCTAGGGACCAAGCATTGTTACAGTTTCAACACTTTCAATCCTCACAAGAAGTCTGGAAGGTAGACACTATCATTATGTCCTTTCTTAGCCAGTTCCTTTTTTCATCAAGGAACAATAAAGGAGAAAGGAAGTGAACCCAAGTAATGTGGATTCAAAGCCTAACCTGTCTCAAGCATTCTGCCTCAGAGAAGACTTTTAAAATTTCAACCAGAAGAATATCTTTTCTGATGCCTGATTTTTGGGGAGAAATGATGGCCTATGTTCAGGCATACGTGGTACTCTTCCTTGAATTTTCCCATTGACCCTTGTTTTTATTATTAGCATACTTATTTTAGGGGATTTTGCATTACAGATACTGAGAAGCTTTTCTTCTTACTATTTGTGTTCCCTGGATTTCCATTACCTCTACTGGAGTACTCTTTGTCGGTCTACCTTGCCTTATGGGTACTTGGAATCTTTTATTACTATTCGAATTCCCCGAAGTGCCACCATAGAGCCTTGAATAAATGTTTGTTTCATTAAATTGAAATTTTTATACTCATTAGGTTAAATACTTGATACTTTATTATAAGTTTTAAGAGTTGTTTTGAAAGTTTTATCAACTTTCTCACCACAAGGGAACTAATTGCCTAGTGGATGGATGTCTACTATAAGGTAGACAAAGTAGAAATCCCAAGTACTCAATTAAATTTGACCAAAGGTTGATGAGATTGTGGAAATAACTTCTTTTAAAGTATTAGTTTTGGGACACCTGGGTGGCTCAGTCATTTAAACCTCTGACTCTTGATTTTGGCTCAGGTCAGGTCATTTTGGCTCTTGGCTGAAGCCCCAAGTGGAGCTCTGTGCTCAGCATGGAGTCGGCTTGTCCCTCTCCCTCTGCTCCTCCACCACCACCACCACCACCCTCTCTATGTTTCTTAAATAAATAAATAAAATCTTAAATAAATAAAAGTCTTTCAGAAATCATTAAATGTTTTAAACAGTGAATGTAAGTTTTCCTATAAAACTACATGAATTGACAAAAGGATAAAACTAGGCTAGTGGCAGCAGAGGAAAAAAAAAGATGAATAAAGGAAGCAAATTTTGGGGCCACTTTTAAAATCAGCGGGACCCACAAACCTCTGAATTCTTATCTCCTCAGAGCCTTCATCATTCTCTTGTGGTCTGAAAGATTTCATTATCTTTAGGGGTTTGCATCTCACAGGAGATATCCAAATCTAACTAAAGACTTCAACTGTGCAAAGAAGACTTTACTCAAGTAAATTGTAAATATACCATTCAAAGAGAATTTTGTTTCTCCTGCTGTATATAACTTATTTTTTAGCCTGGAAAATTTCAATGTCATAAGATGATAGGATGTAAAAAAATAAAATAAAAATAGGGGTGTCTGGGTGGCCCAGTAGGTTAAGCGTCCGACTCTTGGTTTTGGTTCAGGTGATGATCTCAGGGTCATGAGATGGAGCCCCATGTGGGGCTCAGCACTCTTGCGGTAGAATCTGCTTAAGATTATCTGTCTTTCCCTCTGCCCACCCCCTGACCCCTACTCATGTGCTCTCTCATGTGTCCTCTCTCAAATAAATAAATAAAAATAAAAAGTTTTCCCACAAAACTAATGTTTCAGAAACTTATTTAGGAACTAGAGATTAGAACATTTCATTGACACTGATACATACTTTACACTTTACGACTTCTAAAATAGGGATTCATCTTTAGATGAATTGCTGTTGGCCAGGCAGTAGTCATGCTATAATTTGTCATTGTCTACATGCTCGTGAACTTGACCCCCCGTGTTTATATTGTCATCATTTTGGTTACTTACATTGACAGTGCAACACATGTTGAGCTTAACTGTCATTTACAATGCCTTTAAAAAGATTACACTATGTTTCTGCAAAAAGTCAAGGAAACAGAGCAGTGTGATGTTTGATCAAAATCTACATTGAGGGCAGCCCCGGTAGC